CTACATTTCAAACTGTTTAAGTTAATTTTTGAAATTAGATGTACTTTGAACTTTGGCACCCAAACTTTCCATGCTGCATACTCTCGAAATTTGGAACTATTTGAACTGTGTAATCTAGTGCATCAGAACTCTCGCGCTTGTATGCCTGTAACTCCTAGAAAATCTACAAACTTATTATGAATTTCGATAAAACTTTTCGAATCATTTCTAGCTTGCAAAACATAAACATTAAAACAGCTATATCTCGACTAGCAATAAGATTGAGTCCTCGAAATACATCAAACTTGATGAAATAGAATAAATTCTTTTGAATTTTACTAATAATAAAATTTAAATTCCGATAAACTTTATCTATTATTATTCATTAATTTCGTATTTTCCGTCTTGAAATGATTTTCTATTACAATTTTCATTTCTGTTTCGTGTTGTAAATATAAAATTGAAATTAAACTAATCTAAAATTAAATTATAATTTTAAACGAACTTGTAAAAATTCAAATTAACTTAGATAAGTTTATGCTCTCACTGCGCATCCTATAAAAAGGAATGGACAAATTAATTCTTCATTTTAAAGAATTTATTATATTTAGAAAACAATGCAAACTTTAGCTCATAAATATTTAATCGTTTTCTCTTGACCAGTAATATGATGCTCTGCTTCATCATTGCTAAATCCTATTTCTTTTAACAACTGGTTAAGAAAGAGCGGCACGTTTGTCAAAGATAATTCGCGGCCATAAATTCTGTAAAACCCTCTTGCCTCGATGAGAGCATTACCAGTCTCCAGTTAAATAACAGATGTTTATTTTCAGCCGCTCTCGTCGCGGTTAAATTTTTCCAAGGAGCAAGCTCCCTTTTATTCAACTTGCTTGCCTTTATGCGGTAAAAGCGAATGCCTCGAGAGTGGGGCTGCGTTTCATAGACACTCCTTTATACCCTTTAATTTTCTCCATTTTTCCTACGGACTCTATAAAGTTTCCATACATTCGAAACTTCAACTGCTACGACTCGCGGAACGCAAGACTACCTGCGGAGCGGAAACATCCCAGTCAAAGTTCTCGGTTATTACACGGTTGTAGCAGGCAAGGTTGAGCCAACGATCGATATAGATATATTCCGTGGCTGCAATATCATGTCATAGTTCCGTCTTTTACGGACCAACGTAAATCACAATTTACTACCAACGTGGTACGCCGGGGACGATATCACCGTGGATAGCGTCCCTCGTCCACTCTATATTCTTTCCCGTGACATTTTTGTTGAGTTATCGAACCGATATTGGCCGACCATTAGCTGATCAACCTGGTCGCGGAACGAAGGGAAAGATTTTCGAACAGTTACTGACCTAAGCCGCAAAATTTCGGTGCAATTTTGTTGCTTCGCATTATTCATCGAATCGATAAGATTCGATCAGGGACTGAAAATTGTTGCAATCGTTATGGATTTTCATCTCTGGAACAGTTTCGAAACATTATTCTCCGTGGCAGTTATGGTGAACAAAAGATTTTGAATACGGTTTCAATGGCATTTCAAATATTAATTCCATATATGCACCGTTTGAATTCTGTATTATGACTAATTGTCCGACAATAGTATTTGTTTATTATAGATAATGCGATATATAAATTACTATGTTCATTATTCATAATAAATTTCATTTCCTAAAATTGAAGTAAAAAGAAAGAATTAAACCAAATTGAACGGTATATTCTTGATTAAGGATAATGTTCTTAATTCTATTTGAAAAAATAAAGGAGAAAGGTTTGAAAGGGAAAAATAACTGCAAGCTCGCTTAGGAGTCAGGTGTGAACGCTCTCGTAAGCATTCACGACCCTTCTGAAAAGTTCCCATTTGAAGACGATAACTCAAATTTTGCCTGGCGATTATTAACGGTCGTACCTATCCGTGCGGTAGAACGGAGACTAATGTGTTGGAAAAGACAGGGCGGAAACGCGTTTCGCACCCCAAAACTGGATGAACGTGACGTTCGAGAGGGGATGAACGGACCCAGGTACATTGAGCATATCTGGGTCAAGTGGCCGCTCGTAAATCGCTGGCTAAATGAGACGTTGAAAACCGACCTAATGCATTGCACTGGGCTGAACAGCTCTTTATTGAGATATTGTGCCTAGAATGCTCCCCGTTACTATGCTTCCGCGTTCATCTATTCGCCGTTCTTCACTCTCCTCATTTGTATTTTCCCTTGTATTTTGCCTCGATGCTTTTCAAGTCGCCTTTTTCCGTTTCATTGTGTCGAGGCTCATCAATTTTGAGATTATAGCATGATACACATTCGGGTGGTACTGTTTGAGAGCGGTTAACTATCCTGAATTTCGTGCTGCACTCGCGATATCTGATGTTTTAAAGGGTCTAAAGAACTCAGTTTGTTTGGGTATGTTATTAACTTTATTATCGCAGCAAACATGGAAGATATATTAGCAACTTCACTGCTTAATCTCGTTTGGTTAATGACAAGAGGCGTTTCGTGATTTTATGATTTAGATTCAGGACACGCCATATAATGGGACATAAAATGGTTGCAGTATGATTTTTAGTGTTTCTCGAGACTAGTACAGTATATGGAAATATTTCATACATATCTATGTGATATACCTCTATCTTTCTCAATAGTATGGAAAAAATTCATCCGCTGTTCATCTTCAGTTTTTTACAACTTTCACCTGCTTATATGAAAAATGAGTGCGCGTTAAGATGATTACTCAGGTACAAAAAAATAATTAACGGGATTTTGCTTTTAGAAATCGAAAGATTCTTTACACATTTTTGTCTAGAGAACCCAAAATTGTCCGCCGAAATTGTCAGTCATGTTATATTGAAAGAAATGGGTAGAAAATATTGACTTTTGTTTTATGTAGAAAAGTATTTCAACGTTAGTAATTTTTTCAATCTTGTTATCACCTGCATCGTATTTTAATTCTCTTGTTTAAAATTAAGTTTGATTTATAATCATACGATATTTTCTGTTTTTTGAGATATCCAATTTCCAAGTTATGCAGAAAGTACTCAAAATCATTATACGTGGTATCATTTCCTTTTGCACTGTGCGTGCAGAGAATTGAGAGATTTTAATTATCGGCCAGAGGCACATGAATATTCGGTATATTTGTGGCCAGGAATAAATGATCATTAGGGTAGGCGAATGAGAATAATAGGAGAAACTATGCTTCATTGACATTATTCGTTATTAAGCTGAACTGATACCTTGATGTTGTTTATATTCTAATTTAAAATTTGCTTCAAAGATCTGTACTTGATAGAGTATAATTTTTTAAATTCATTCATTTCAGATTCATTTAAATAAAAAGTAAAAGAAATCAAACTTTACTATTAAAAGTTATGAAGCAAAACGTATATTTATTTTTGTATAATGTATAGAATTCTTCTGTTTCGATAATTCAATACGCGACAAGCACTGAAATTTATCTTTTTTAGGTGAATATATTTCTATCATATTGTTAGTTTATTTATATCACTAATACTCTAGCATGGCTTGCACCCATAATAAAGCAAAAAAGAAAGTTCTCCAAATAATTCGTTCTTTATCAAGAACTAATTGCATTTCTACCACTTGAATAACATTCTTCCTCCATAATATAACTGTTCCATTGATAATTATTCTGCAGCATTGATTTCAAATATACGTCAAAAAATTTCACCCGAAAACCTGTCTAAACGCGCATGAAACGTTACCGCAAGATTCATATACATTTTTATTCAAAGAACTTTGAACAGCTTCCATAAAGATGCAATTTTCAAAAGCTTGATTTCGGAAGCGTAGCATTTCTGCGTCGTTGCAGTTAGTATAACACGTTCACAATATTTAACGACGCAATTCGGGATTAACGTGCATATAAAATAGCCCAATAAACACGCGCACAATGCCACTGTTCGAGGAGTATATGAGGAAATATTTCAGTATACTCACATTGAACATGAAGAGATATGCGCTGGCTAACCGGTGGTGGAACGTCGTTCGAAGCGATACACAGGTACGTTCCCATGTGCAATCGACTTATCTTCACAATATGCAATGTCTCGCCAGCTACGAAGTTAACTGTAACAGAAACAGAACGATGTTTCATTAGATTCTCGCGTATATAAATTGTGTAATTAATTCAAGTTTTGGTGGACATAAACTCAGGAACGCATTGAAAGTTTTAGATTAGAAGCTTACGCGTGATTTGATAAAATATCGTTGTTACATTATAACTCATAATTACTGTGACAACTTGAAAACTCAGTGGACGTTATTCGAATATTTTCGTTTTAGATAGACCTGTTGGTATTTACGTTGCAAAGGATAAGTGTCTGGTTGTACAGTACGAAATCATTGCATAGTGATTTAAATGTTCGAGTAATATTAAAAGTAATTTTAAAAGTAAACTGTGCCATTCTAAATATCAATGAAACTGTAAAAAATGTGACTTTGGAAAAATGGAAGACTTTGCATGATGATATCCACTTGCAAGTGCTGCAAAATATGTGGAAACTGATTCTTCCTGAATTTCCTTATTGTACATAGAATTTGGGCATTTCATGGAGTATGTAGTTAAATTATTAACAGTTAAATAATGTCTATTATGAATACGAGAATAATTAAAAAATTTTGAAATCTGTATATTTCTTATAAAATCTGATATTTCATATACCATGATCTGAAGACATGCATCTTTCGAATAGTAATATATCGATCGTGATTAATTTTCCGCTAATGTAATATAATTTCGCTGATACGAGTACATCTTTCATAATTAATTTTCACTTAACCGTGCAATCTTGGATGGGTAAGTTTCTTGGGAGTCGAATCGCTGAAAATTCGGACGTAACACTATTTGCAGAGAAATCGAAGTTTCCGGGTAGAAAGTTCAGCTAAAAGTTCAGAGGAAACGACCTACTTTGACGCTACCAAATTTATAAGTGCAAAAGGCGTCGCAAAACCTTCGACTACGCAAGATGAACTGCGAACTGTCTACGCCATTTTGAGTACAGGAAATTTTTCATTCAACTATTGAATAAAGTTTCGTATTCATGTAAAATTGTATTATGATTACTTAATTTTGTTAGTTATTAATGCGATTCCATATTTGATTGCTAATTAGTAATATTAGTGGAATTAGATTTGCACGTATTTGATGTCCAATAGAATTCAAAATACACGATGTGGTACAAATTTGATGGGTTTCTCCAATTATAATGATTTGTGGTATTTTATTTTTCTTGATATAACATCATATGTTTAGTCTGTCGTTTTCAAATACTTTTATAAATTTCTACAATTCGAAGAATTCTGTTTTCATTTCTATTCATTATCTCATTTATATTATTTATTGTACATCTTATATCCATTGCCAGTTATAGTTATATTACCAAACGTTTCTTTTTATACTTAACACACGCATATTTTTATTATTTGACAACAATGCAACAATGCAGATGCCGTCCATTTAAGATTCGAAGTTTGACTCTCTAATGCATCTATAGCCAGTGGCTCATTAATATCTGTCATAGAAGGTAATTATTTATTCCATCCTGCATTCACCGCTTCCATTCCCGTGCTATACACTGGCATATAATTAAATTACGTTAAACGATTTATCATTCTGGCCAGTCGCACAAACCTGCAAAACTTCCGCGTTTCACATTTTCCTGCAACTTTTAGCGTATTTTGTGGCTGTGCTCGGTCATCCGTTCTAACGAATTATGCACGCGAGCTGAAAACGAGATCCTGCGCACAATGTAATGGAACATGGTCTGGTTTCCGGTTTTACTCAACCCTGATAAATACTGCATCGAAACGGAAGATTCGAGAAATCAATAGAACTTTCACAGAAGCGATCAAATATCCTTTTCCCAATTAAAATCAGTGGTTACAGGAAATGATATAGTAAATTTATCTTTCATTTTTTACTGGGAACGTTCGAAAATTCAATATATTACCTAATCCCACATCCCCAAAAGTTCTTTCTGTTTGATTTTGAAATGAGTATTTTTAACATTTTTGGTACTTTTTCTCGCAATTTGGTGAGTTTGTTAGCTATTTTTAAAATACTTTTATTTTAGAGTCTTAGATTAATCCATTTTTTAATAATTGTTTATTAATACATATAATCTTGTTATTTCTTCGTCTTTTTCTTTCGTTTTATGTATCAAGTAATGTGGGAATAAGACAATCGTCGAAAATAAATTATCATGGAATATCCTTTTCCTGCACCTTTATCTTACAAAAGACTTCAATTTAGCTTTAAGGTTATCTTGAAGTTAAATATCTCTATACCACGTAAATCAATGAAATATTTTGTGTAAGCCAATATTCATTTCATCACGGTAAAAGAAATTTCAAACTTCTGCTCAGTCAGTGTTTTCAAAAAAGCGAATGTTCAAAGATTCGTGGCCTTGCTTTAGCTTTAATTTTTCCACGCCTGCCTGAAGTACCAGTATGAAGCTAAGTTGTACAACCCCAAGGAAAAGAAAGAGAGGAGTAAAAACGGATTGCGTAAGGAGCCTATCTTACCGTAAAAGTAGCATAATGCCGTGGAATGTAATGAAACGCAGCCTGTTCGCGTAAATATGCAAGCATAATGTCCCAAAAAGCGTAAAAGCATACGACTGTTGCCACGCGTTCCAATAAGAGGACGATAATAAAACGGTGTAGCTGGCGATCGCAATTTTTATACATGAAATTATCGTGCACGTTTCCAGAATTCCTACTGAAACAGAGACAGCAGCGAATTGTAATAGGTCGCGGAGAATGGGTGGGAGGATAAAATGGTTGCGAGTAAATGTTGAAGAGCGATGGAAAACCAATTGAACGTTTTTCACGATAAAGGTAAAAGGGCATTGTATCAGGGAGGAAAAGAATTGTTGCTGCAATTCCCGGACAGTAATGTGGAGGTAATGGGACGCCGTAAGAACGTGGGATTCCTCGAGTCGAATAATACCCTTCAATGTATCACGATCTTTGTTACGGCTCATGCACTTCCAGATAGATTGCTTGTTTTTCTACTTTTCATTTGGCTCTTCGATCTCTTGCAGGATAATTTGCTTTCTGCTTCGTTACTTTTTAATGTGGTCGTGCTTCTAGATCTTTATTTCTGAATGCACATGTACGGAGTGTTGCATAAACTCATTTACGTTTGAATTAGGCTAGGATCCTAATTGCAATCTTCGATCTTCGATTTTCAGGCACATTTACAAAGATTGCCCGAGATATGTATATTGTTTTGGTGTTCAATCTGCTACGATGCATTGTATATATCAATTTTACTGGCGTTCATTTCTTGCCATTTTTTGGAATATGCAGTATATTAATTTGTATCCCCTGTATTTCATTCTAAATTTTAGAAATGTATAGTTGATTTTGACAGAAGAGTAATTAATGATGAGAGGTCCTCTTTCTGAAATGATTATTTCTACTGTTTTTCTTTCACGATATAACCGAAAAACGAAAATAAAAATGGCAGAGGGTGCTATCTTTCAAAAGAAATGTTAATGCCAGTAAGGAGAGAAGTATTATCACTATAATATTTTCTTCGCTCACTGTTCCTATTATTTCAATGTAAAAATTATTATGTCAGTAACTAATAGAATTTTTAATTACGAAATCAAACTTATCTTATAGTCATATTCCGTCAATAAATGAAAATTTGGCGAACACAAAATTGTTTCTCCCACGTCTTTGATTTTTACTTTTCTTTAGCTCTCAGCTTCCTTTATTCTTTAATTATAAATTCACATTTTCATTATCAGATTCATTTTCCTGCTCGATACTATTTCTTAACTGTCCAATCGTGACGTTTAATAAAGTCGCGCTATTTCCCCACTTTCTTATCCAGCAGATAACATCTATCAACAATGATCCTGTTGCCTTTAATTCCATACAATACGATCTAATTCTCGGTAGAAGAACTCGTGCGAATAGAACCACCATCCCTGATTGTACAAGCTTATCTCGTATGCCTCGAAACTCTTATCATCGCTAGAGGAAATATCGTAGCCGATGAAGGTCTGTGAAAGGAAGGAAAGCTGGTCCACGGTAAGGAACAGCGGGGCGTAAGGAAATGGTGTGAATCGTTGCTAGCCAGACCGTGCCGCACGCCAAACCTATCTATTGTTCCATAAACAATGCCTAGCAGCGAGAAATTCCACCAGTGGGCTACCACTTCCAAGGGTTTTAATCAAGTAGTCCCGTAGGTCCTACGCCAGAATTATCTCGCTTCACCTGTTTAACAGGAACCTTTCAAACCTTCAACTTAACGTGGAAACCACAATATGACACTACTCGATAAAATTTCGCCAGGAATGTACTTACTTACATTCACATAGTGTCTTGTCGTCGTGAATAAACTACCAACGATGGTGAACTATTTTACAACAATCTCCACAATCTTGTTGCAGATGACATTCCGACTAGTTAAGTTTTACGAGGATTGTCAACATTTTGGACGTGATCATCTATTTTTCGGGTGATTATTGACTTCTTATTTAGAGACAGGTTAACTGAAGATTATATTCGTTTTAGACGAAATTAATCTAACGAGAATTGATTCTTTCTAAAGAACTTTCAATTCTTTAATTGTGATTTCATTTGAGTATGAGATTACCTAGTTAATAGGCTAGGTATGAGTGATTCGACATTTTGGTAATTAGACTGTGATACGTGACAAGTTAGAATATCATAGGGATATTGTAGTGATATATTTGCAGTAAAGAGAATAGTTCTATTTGTACGAGCTAATTGATGTGTTAATGTGTTCACTGAAACGAGAAAAGAAAAGAAAATTTTTGTGAATAGTAATATCACGTTAGTATTATATATGTTGTTCGGAAAATGCTACTCAACTTTCTATTTTCTAAATTAATATGGGAAGAAGAAATGAAGGAATTGCTGAATGAAGAATAATCGAATTTATAAAGTTGTGATTTCTAATATCTCTTTATTTGAAATGATTAAAGTTCTTTTATAAAATTACTCTTCAAAGTTTGGAAATTAATATTTTACTTTTCACTCTTTGTAATCTTGTAAACTAAGTTTCATAGATTTTACCATAATTACAA